ATTTTCCAGGATTGTGGTCTTATTCATGCCCTGCACAACTGAAGCATAACACCCTTCCCCTTCTGTTCAGTTCTTCTTATAATAAAGCATTGTGCCTCACTAACTTTCTTTTGATTCTGTGTTTATCAGGATGCTAACGTCTCTTTTTTTCTAAAAAAAAAAGTCTGTTGTTTCATTCTCCCTGCCAAAGTGGACACCTTCATATTTTCCTACATTGTACTCCATCTGCCAGATTTTGTCTACTCCCCCAACCTATCTAAAGTCATACAGCACGGAAGAAGACCCTTCAATCCAACTTGTCTACACTGACCACATTTCCGAAACAAAACTACTCCCATATGACAAGGTTTGGCTCATATCCCTGTCATCATGTCCCTATCCCAATGCCTTTATCTGTTTATAGTCTCCTTGTATCTTGGTGGTCTCCTTGTATCTGACTTGGTGGTTTGCAAATTTACCTACCATGCTGCACTCCCTCAGATCATCCAAATCATTGATATAAGTGTTACTGTTGAGGCCCCAGCACGGACCCTTGCCAATCAAGTGAAAACTTGTTTTCTGCCAGCCAGCCAATCTTGTATCTATGCTAATGTTAGAAGATGCTAGAAAAACTAAATGGCCTGAAGGTCGATAAATAACTAGACCAGATGGTACACCACAGAGTTCTTAAGGAGATAGCTGAAGAGATAGTGGAGTGATCTTTCAGGAATCCCTAAAGTCGGGGACGGTCCCATAGGACTGAAAAATCCCTGTTTTAAATGAAATGTAAATGAAAGTAAATGATCTGCAAAATAGATGAAAGGTTAAGTCATCCATAGTCCTACTGGACGATAGGGCTGCTCTCTCGGACAAGGGGGAGAGTTTGAGAGTCCTTCATGATAACCTTAGCCAGTGCAGGATAATAAATCCAAAATGACAAGTTTGTTCAAAAAAAAGTCTATAGGCTTTGAGTCTTAATGATTTGTGGGCGGCCTTGAGCTGAGATGACTGAACTCCAGCAATCACAGGGATCTTCCTATGTGCCTGGTATAACTCCAACCAGTGGAGAGTTTGCCCTTGATGTCCATTAGCAAAACTGAAATTAGGGCTCCTTGATGCCACACTGACTCAAATGCGGCCTTGATATCAAGGACTGTGACTCGCACCTCACCTGTGGAATTTGGCTCTTTTGTCTGTGTTTGAAACAAGGCTGTAATGAGGTCAGGGGCTGAGTGGTCCTGGTGCAACCCAAACTGAGTGCCGCTCAGCAGGTGCTGCTTCATAGCAGTGTTGTTGACCCCTTCCATCACTTCATTGATGATCAAGTGTAGACTGATGGGGCAATATTAGTCAGAGAAAGGGTCACTGGACCTGAAATGTTAACTCTCATTTTTCTCCATAGATGCTGCCAGACCCTCTGAGCTTTTCCAACAATTTCTGTTTTTGTTTCTATTTTGTAATCAACCTGTTCAGAGATGTTATTACACACCTCAAGAACAAGTTAAGACTTGAACCTAGGCCTCCTGGCTCAAAGGTTTGGAAACTACCACTGCATCACAAGAGCCATGCTGGTAAATTGAGGTTGAAGTTAAGTAGGTTTTTCCCTCTTGTCCATGGCCTTCACCACCTGCTGCATTAGTGCTATCAAAGTTCCCTTGCTGATAGGTGTTAAAGTTTCCACCTGAGTGACTTGCTACCCTTAAATGTTGCTGATTTTCAACATAGAAGAGCATTAAATCATTGTGTGAAGGAAGGGGATATGTGGATATTGAGCTGGTTAAAGTGACATGGAGAAGTTGTTTCCACAAATAGGAGGTAGTGGGACCCGAGGGCACAGTCCGAGTGTGAAGGGATAACTAATTACAACTGACATGAGGAATTTCTTCATCCGCTGGGTGGTGAATCTGTGGAACTCATTCCCACAGAAGGCCGTGAGGGCAAGTCTTGAGTGTATTTAAGACAGAGATAGGTTCTTGATTCGTAAGAGAATCAAAGGTTATGGGGAGAAGGCAGGAGATTGGGGTTGAAAAACACATTAGCCATGATTGAATGGCGGAGCAGTCTCGATAGGCCAGATGGCCTAATTCTGCTCCCACACCTTATGGTATTATATAAAGCAGAAAACGTCCTTGCCTGCATTTGACTACCAGGGTTATGACTGCTTTTGTTGCCTGCATGCCCCAAGAACGGATATTAAGAAAGTGTTGGGACATTAGCAGTGAAATATGATTTGGTGATTGTGAGGACTTAGGGAGTTGTTGTCTGACTAGAATGGATAATCACTTCCTATGTTTAGCTCAATGAATTTAAATTATACCAGGTGCAGGTGTGGGATTTGAAGTCCTCGTTTTGGAGCAGACTTCTGGATTGCTAGCTGTGCCACATTATGACTATGCTCCTATTCCATTATTGTTTAAATGTGATTATGCTGATGAATAACACTCGTGACTCCAGTTAAGGAGCAGTAACTGCTCTATTATGTCAAAATGGAGAAAGGAAACTCGTTAACAGAAGGAAGCTAAATAGGAAGAACAGACCAAAACCTTTATGAAAAACAATGGAATCAACTTAATTGCTTTCCCACTTTAAAAGTGAGTAAATTTTTTTTAGATTGCCATACAGCACGGAAACAGACACTTTGGTTCAACCAGTCCATGCCAACCATAATCCCAAACTAAACTAAGTCCCACCTGCATGCCCTGCGCCCATATCCCCCCAAACATTTATTATTCATGTACTTATCCAAACATCTTTTAAACATTGTAACTGAACCTGCATCCACCACTTCCTCTGGAAGTTCATTCCTCACACAAACCACTGTGTTTAAAAAAAAAAAAAGCCCCTCATGTCTTTTTTAAATCTTTCTCCTCTCCTTAAAAAATGTCTCCTTGTCTTCGAAATTCCCCAGCCTAGGGAAAAGACACCTGCCATTCACCTTCTCTGTACCCCTCATGATTTTATGAGCCTCGATAAGGTCACCCTTTGACCTGCAACACTTCAATGAAAAATGTCCCAGCCTATCCAGCCTCGCTTTATAACACTAATCCTCCATTCCCTGCAAAACAAAGGGATTTCTGTGAGTGAGATTAGATCATTTATTTCAACCTTATCAATGTTTGCCAACAGTCCCTCATTTGCTCAGTGTATTTTCTGCTCTGTGAAATGGTATTTTATGTATTGTCATTTTTAGATGTTGATATTGATGATATCATTTTTGTTATCCGAATGAATATTTATGTCACCTATGATTTACAGGCTATTTATGGGGAAGCGGTGGCACAATGGTCATACCATTGGGCTGGTAATCCAATGCATCAGGCTAATGTTGTGGGAATATGGGTTTGAATCCCATCTTAGTGATTTTTTTTCCTCTAAGTTCCAGATAACAATGTTGAACCTGAGGCCACTGTCAATTATTTGCAAAAACCTGTCTGGCTCCTAAATGTCCTTTAGGGAAGAAAATCTGCTGTCCTCACCTGGTATAGCCAACATATAGCTCTAGATCAATGTGTTGAGTGTTAACTTGCCTCTGAAAGGACGTGGCAGGCCACTTGGTTATATTTGTGAAACTAGCTTGCCATTACCTTCTAAAGGGCAGTTACTGTTGGATAGTCAATGCTGAGTTTGTCCACACCCTGTGAATGAATTAATAAGATACAAACTCAACCTTCACCAACTTATTTTGTTTAGGAATCCAAAGCTATTCAAGGGAAAGCACTTATCTCATTATGATTTGGATTGGTACCCAGATTTGGAGGGATGAAACAGACTTCGTTCTTTATTACACCACCCAACTCTAAGCCACCTTGCACACTGACTTTATTTCGACTCTTTGTGTTGAGAGTTGCAACTGAGTGATCCTTGATTTATATTTCCAAAGTGCATCTGACACCCTTGAGCCTAATTTTCAGGTCGAAACTAAGATAAAGGCAGACTGCTGAGGCTTGCTTAAGAATTGATGAATGAATGACCATTCTCAGGACACTCCAAAAGCATCTTAAATATAAACAAACAAAACAAGAAGGTGTGAGGAGCGAGTTGGCTGTGATAGTTTGGGAAACTACCTTTAAAGGAATAATGGTGGATAACTAATGGCAATGGTGTTTATTCATGGTTCCTTTGACATTGAAAAACACTACCGGTAAAGTGACCTAACTCTGGTTCACAAGAGAAGTTAAATATTGAATTAGATCAAAGGAAGAAGCTTATAAAATGGCAAAAAAAAATGTAATTAACCTGACAGGTGGGAGCTCTTTAGAATTCAGTAAAGGAGAGTGAAGAAGCCGATCTGGAAATGTAGAACATGAAAGTAAACTAGTGAGAAACGTAAAAAAAATTAACCGTAAAAGCTTCTGTAGTTGTGAAAAGAGAAAAGATTAGCAAAGACAAAAAAGGGCCAATTACAGACAGAGACAAGAAAATTTATAATGGGTACTAATGAATTGGCAGAGAAATTAAGCAAACAATTTGTCTATCTGAGTTGAGGAAAATTTAAAAAAAACTTTCAGAAATAACTAGAGAACCAAGGAACTAATAAGAGTAGTGAAGTGAAAGGAAACGTGAAATTCTCACAGGGATTGAGAGGTCGGTAAGATGTGCCCTTTGGCTGGGAGTGTGTAGAACTAGGAGACAGATCCTCAAAAAGGGACAAACCACTGAGGACTGAGATGAGACTCCGGGTGGTGAATCTTTAGAATTCTTGGCCATGTAGGCGCTCACCGAGTATGCTTCAGACAAACATAGATAGGCTTGTCAATATTGAAGACATCAAGAGATGTAAGGATAGTATGGTGAAAGGAGCCATGATCTAGAAGAATGCTGGAGTAGCCTCTAGGGGCTGAATGCCTACCCACCCCTATTTCGTATGTTGCAAAGTCCGTGAAATACTTTGGATCGTCAGTGTTGGAATATAGGAATCCCAACAAATAAATTGCATTCATTATAATCACACAAATGATAACATGATGATATCTAGATTATCTGTTCTAAGAAATCAAACACTTTTTTTCTTATACCTGTAGGTCAGTGTGGTTCCATTTCTGCAAAAAACTTGGTTGCCAATGTCAATTCCAGCCACAATATAACCTGCTACTTTTGTGGATCTGATGCTGCTGATCAGGTTGAATGGAAATATGCTGGCAATCTCCTCCCCAGCAGTTACTACACTAAGGTCACCTCCAGTGTTAGCATGGTGTCGCTGCAGAACCTTGGCCTAACCAGCCGGGAAGGAGAAAATTTGACGTGTACATTTAAAACAGAGTCTTACACCGCGTCAGTCAAGACTGGATGTAAGTATCATATGATGAAGGCATACAAATTGCAATAAGTGGGATTTTGTGTCTTTCCTATAGTCAATTGAATTCAAGTGTCACTGGGATAGAGGTACAAGTGGTAATACTTATAGATTGAAGCTCTCGTTTTTTGGCTATGGTCTTCACTAAAATAACCGATGAATGTCTTCAAAGTTATGAAAGGGTTCAATATGCTATAGATAAAATGTTTCCATTTTTATTGGAATCCCAAACTTTGGCTCTCCTATTTACAGCAGAGTCATAAATTGAGAAAGGATGGGGCGGCACGGTAGCTCAGTGGTCAGCACTGCTGCCTCTCAGCGCCAGGGACCTGGGTTTGATTCCACCCTCGGGCGACTGTCTGTGTGGGTTTCCACCAGGTGCGCCGGTTTCCTCCCACAGTCGAAGATGTGCAGGCTAGGTGGATTGGCCGTGCTAAGTTGTCCATAGTGCTCAGGGATGTGTACATTAGGTGGGTTATAGGGGGATGGGTCAGTGGGGGGTGGAATGCTCTGAGGTTCAGTGTGGACTTGTTGGGCCGAAGGGCCTGTTTCCACACTGTAGGCATTCTATGATTCTATGAATTCAGGAAAAACCCCTTTTATCTAGAGTGGTTAGAATGTGAGCCTGCAAACACAATGGGAAGTTGAGACAACTCGCATAGATACACATAAGACGAAGTTGGATAAATACGTGAAAGGAGAAGGATATATTGGTCTGGTGAGATGAAGAAGATCAGAAGTAGTCTTGCACTTAACAAAAAGAAATGGTGTTTCAGTGTTGTAGATTCAACCAGCACATCAGGTGTAGACCATTCAAAGTGTCAGTTCATAGGCAGTGGATGCAAGTCTGCTTTGTACAGTTTTTTGATTAAGGAAGTAAGAGTTATTCTCCAATTAACAGAATTACCAATTCTATTACAGGCTGTGTACAGGTTCCATTTTCTTCTACTCCTCAGGTTCCATGTTCTGCCCTCTACCAAGGTTAAATCCTACATCCATACAAAGATTGAAACATGAATAAAGGAACAGTAGAATTAGTAAAATGGAGAGCTTGGGATGTGTAAACTGCACAAGATATTGTCACCAATCAGCAGGATGGTTTATCCATCCAAATGTTTAAGAAACTGGAGTTGAAATATTTTTGTTTCTTTAGATCCCCCGGAGGATCCTCGGGATTTGGAATGTATAACCCAAAACTTTGGTAAACTTAAGTGTTCTTGGAATACGGGAAGAGACACAAATATAGAAACAAACTACACAGTCTGCTCTTGGTGAGTTCTTATCATTTTACATGGACTCCAATTATTGCTATGATATCGTACCACTTGAAAAATACCACACAGTGGTCTAATTAGGGAGATGGATACTATTCTCTGCAGCTGTCAATGGGTGTCCTGAAGGCTGTTGCCAGTCCAGTGCTAGGTTAAGGACATCTCGTTGAGAAGGAGAGGTACTTGGAGAGGGAGGGGAGAGATCTGGTAGTTGTTATCCTATAAAGGATGTTTTGCTGAAAAACTTTGAAGAGGAGCTAAATTAAAAAGCAAGGTAATAATCTCTGGACTACCAGCGGAGCCACAGGCAAACTAGCATCGGGTAAATAAGGCCAAGGAGTTAAATATACAATTCAAAGATTTATGCGGGTGCCATGTGTTTCAGTTCCTGGACACTGGCACCAGTACTGGAGTAGAAAGGAGTTGCTCTGGTGGGATGGACTTCATTTAAACTATGCTAGAACATAGAACAAAAGAACTAGGAGCAGGAGTAGGCCGTCCAGCCCTTCGAGCCTGCTCCGCCATTCAATAAGATCATGGCTGATCTTTTCGTGGACTCAGATCCACTTACCCGCGTTCTCACCATATCCCTTAATTCCTTTATTGTTCAAAAAAATATCTACCTTATCTTTATCTTTAAAATCGTTTACTGAAGTAGCGTCAACTACTTCACTGGGCAAGGAATTCCATAAATTAACAACCCTCTGGGTGAAGAAGTTCCTTCTCAATTCAGTCCTAAATCTGCTCCCTCTTGTCGTAGCTTCACCTGCCAGTGGAAACATCCTCTCTACTTCTATCTTATCTATTCCCTTCATAATTTTATATGTTTCTGTAAGATCCCCCCCTCAATCTTATGAATTCCAATGAATATAATCCCAATCTACTCAGTCTCTCCTCATAAGACAACCCCCTCAACTCCGGAATCAACCTAGTGAACCTCCTTTGCACCCCCTCCAGTGCCAGTACATCCTTTCTCAAGTAAGGAGACCAAAACTGCACACAGTATTCCAGGTGTGTCCTCACCAGCACCTTGTACAGCTGCAACATAACCTCTCTGCTTTTAATCTCAATCCCTTTAGCAATGAAGGACAAAATTCCATTTGCCTTCCTAATTACTTGCTGTACCTGCAGACCTACCTTCTGTGATTCATGCACAAGGACACCCAAGTCCCTCTGCATAGCAGCATGCTGCAACTTTTTACCATTCAAGTAATAACCGTTTTTACTATTACTCCTACCAAAATGTATGACTTCACATTTGTTTACATTGTATTCCATCTGCCAGACCTTTGCCCACTCACTCATTGTATCTATGTTCCTCTGCAAAGTTTCACAGTCCTCTGCACACTTTGCTCTGCCACTCATCTTAGTGTCATCTGCAAACTTTGACACCGTACACGTGGTCCCCAACTCCAAATCATCTATATAAATTGTAAATAATTGCAGTCCCAACACCGATCCCTGAGGCACACCACTAGTCACTGACTGCCAGCTAGAATAGCACTCATTTATCCCCACTCTTTGCTTCCTGTTAGTCAACTGATCCTCTATCCATGCTAATACTTTAGCCTTAGCGTCATGCGTCCTTATGCAGTAGCCTCTTGTGCGGCACCTTGTCGAAGGCCTTTTGGAAATTTAGGTACACCACATCCATTGATTCCCCATTGTCCACCTCGCTCGTAATGTCTTCATAGAATTCCAAAAGACTTGTCAAGCATGACCTGCCCTTCATGAACCCATGCTGCGTCTGTCCAACGGGACAATTTCTTTCAAGATGCCTTGCTATTTCTTCCTTGATAATAGACTCGAGCATCTTCCCCACTATAGAGGTTAAGCTAACTGGTCTATAATTGCCCATCTTTTGTCTACTTCCCTTTTTAAACAGTGGCGTCACATTTGCTGTTTTCCAATCTGCTGGGACTGCCCCAGAGTCCAGCGAATTTTGGAAAATTACCGCCAGTGCATCTGCTATTTCTCCCGCCACCTCTTTTAGTACCCTGGGATGCATTCCATCAGAGCCAGGAGACTTATCAATCCTTAGCTCCATTAGCTTGCCCAACACTACCTCTTCCATAATAATGATTGTTTCCAGGTCCTCACCTATCTTCGTCTCTTTGTCAATTACTGGCATGTTATTAGAGTCCTCCACTGTGAAGACCGATACAAAATACCTGTTCAATGCCTCGGCCATTTCATCATATCCCATAACTAAATTCCCCTTCTCATCCTCTAAAGGGCCAACGTTTACTTTAGCCATTCTTTTTCATTTTATATATTTATAGAAACTTTTTTGCTATCTGTCTTTATATTCTGTGCTAGTTTTTTCTCATGTTCTATCTTACTTTTCTTTATAGCTCTTTTTGTGGCTTTCTGTTGACCTTTAAAGGTTTCCCAGTCTTCTAGTTTCATGCTGTTTTTGGCCACTTTGTATGCCTTCTCTTTCAATTTGATAGCGTCCCTTATTTCTTTAGACACCCATGGCAGATTACCCCTTTTCTTACAGTCCTTCCTTTTCACTGGAATATGCTTTTGCTGAGCACTTTGAAAGATTGCTTTGAAAGTCCTCCACTGCTCTTCAACTGTCCCACCATAAAATCTTTGTTTCCAGTCTACTTTAGCCAAGTCCTCCCTCATTCTATTGTAGTTCCCCTTGTTCAAGCACAGGACCCTGGTATTGGATTTTATCTTCACACTCTCCATCTGTATTCTAAATTCAACCATACTGTGATCACTCCTTCCAAGAGGATCCCTAACTATGAGGCCATTAATTATTCCTGTCTCATTACACAGGACCAGATCTCGGATAGCTTGCTCCCTCGTCTGTTCCATTACATACTGTTCAAGAAAACTATCACGGATACACTCAACGAACTCCTCCTCAAGGCTACCCTGACCGAGCTGGTTCGACCAATCTACATGTAGATTAAAATCCCCCATGATAATTGCCGTACCATTTTTACAGGCATTAGTTATTTCTTTGTTTATTGCCCGCCCCAATGTGACGTTATTATTTGGTGGCCTATAGACTATGCCTATCAGTGACTTTTTCCTCTTAGAATTTCTAATTTCCACCCAAATGGATTCAACCTCATTCTCGATAGAACCTATATCATCTCTCAGCACCGCCCTGATGTCGTCCTTGAATATCAGAGCTACACCACCTCCCTTACCTTCCTGTCTGTCCTTCCGAATAGTCTGGTACCCTTGGATATTTAACTCCCAGTCGTGACCATCCTGTAACCATGTCTCCGTAATGGCTACCAAATCATATTCATTCGCGATGATTTGTGCCGTTAACTCATCAACCTTGTTACGAATGCTATGAGCATTCAGGTAAAGTGCCTTTATGCTAGCTTTCTTAACCTCATGATTTCCAACATCTCTCATAATATCTCCTGAGTTATCCTTCCTTTTTGCTTCTTTCATAGTCTGCCTTGAACTTAAACCCTCCTGCACACATGCTAACCTGCTGCTTACCTTTTTATTTACCATCATACTCCCTGTTGTTTTCCCTTTCCCTTCCCCCCAACACACTAGTTTAAAGTCCTAGTGACCACCCTATTTATCCTTTTCACAAGAGCACTGGTTCCAGATCGGTTCAGATGGAGACCGTCCCATCGGTACAGATCCCTCCGGTTCCAAAACTGCTGCCAATGCCCCATGAAATGGAACCCCTCTTTCCCACACCACTCCCTTAGCCACGTGTTTACTTCCCTAATTTTCTTATCCCTAAGCCAATTTGCACGTGGCTCGGGCAGTAATCCGGAGATTATGACCCTCGAGGACCTGTTCCTTAATTTCGTTCCTAGTGCTTGATAATCCCCAAACAGGTCCTCCATCCTCGCCTTGCCTATGTTGTTAGTCCCAACGTGGACCACAACAACTGGATACTCCCCCTCCCGCTCCAATATCCTTTCAAGCCGGTCAGAGGTGTCCTGCACCCTGGTGCCGGGCAGGCAACACACCATGCGGGACTCCCAATCCGGCTTGCAAAGGATACTATCTATCCCCCTAACTGTAGAATCCCCTATAACTACCACTTGTCTTTTTGCTCCCCCCTCTTGAATGGCCTTCTGCACCATGGTGCCGCGGTGAGCTGGCTCATCCTCCCCGCAGCCCTTTTCCTCATCCACACAGGGAGCAAGTGTCTCGTACCTGTTGGATAAGGTCAAAAGCTGAGGCTCCTCCACTCCTGAACTTAGGATCCCCCTACCTGCCTCACTTGCAGTCACACCCTGTTGTCCCTGATCAGTAACTGAATTTGAATTACTTAATCTACCAGGTGTGACTGCCTCCTGAAACAAAGCGTCCAGGTAACTTCTCCGCCCCGCCCCGACTCCCGGATGTGCCGCAGCGTTTGAAGTTCAGATTCCAGATCTTCAGCTCTGAGCCGAAGTTCTTCCAGCAACCAACAGTTGCTGCAGATGTGGTCACTGCCATTCACAATGGGATCAGCCAGCTCCCACATCATACAGCTACAGCACATCACCTGCCCAGCCATCTCTACTTAGTTAATTACTTTATTACTTTATATCAATTTATGAGTTAAATACTTTCTAATACTTCTCTGCTGTGGTATTTTCAAATAACCAATTAATAGATAAATACAGAAGAAATAGAAAAAGTATAAAAGCCTTACCTTACCAACACACCACAGAGTCCCTTTGTTTTTTGGTTAGAGGAGGAGGGCGGGTGGGAGATGCTACACGTTTAGTGTCTCGGATTCAGCCGCTGCCCAAATATATTCCCGGCAGCCCCCGGTCCTCACTGTCGCCTCTCCCTCTGCTGCTGAAAAATGAAGGCCGCTGACGCTCGAGGTAAGCCCTTTAAGAGGGAAAATTTACCTTCCCGGCAGCCCCCTGGAACCGGCAACCTGATGAATTAAAAAACATGAAATAACTAGAGCTTTCGAGAGGGCTTTAACTAGCTAGGATTGGAGAGGGGAAATGTAAGCTTGCAAAGCAAGAAGACATGACAGCCTTCAGGATTTGGATAATGAT